TCTAGGCATGAACAGTGGAAACACACAGAAGTGGGAAATAGATGTCATGTGAAGAACAGAGATAAGACCAGTTTAGTTGTACTGTCAAGTGAAAGAGAGAGAACAATATCCAATGGGGCTGGAAAAATTACCTAGGGCCAGGTTGTAAAGGGCTTTAGGCTCTAAACAAAGGAGTTTATATTATACTAAGTCACTGGAACTAATGGAGTAGAGGAACCCAATGGTAAGATCTACATTTAAGGAAAATTAGTTTGGCAGCAGTATGTAGGATGTAGAAGAGTCGGGGAGACCAAGTAGGGGACTATTGTCATAATCTAGGTAAGAGATAGAGTGAGTCTGAACTGAGGTGATGGCAGTGTGAGTGAAGAGAAGTCTGATGAGAGACAATTGGGAGACATGGCAAGCTTTGACAAGTGATTTTCTAGGTGGAGGTGAAAGAGAACAAGGAGTTGAAGGGGATGCTTAGGTTGCCCATCCATAGTACTGGAAAGATGGGAGTGCCTGTGACAGAAATGGGGAAGTTTGGGAGTGGGGAAGGTTGTAGGGTGGCCATCCCTGAATGTGATACCTCCTTCAAGAAGGAGCAGCTCCTGTCCAGAGCCACAGCTCAAGAGGGAGGAGGGAAGACCTAAAAACATAAGTAATGCCACACTATCCCCTGACTACTCCCCTAGCAGCTCAGTAAATACTGGCACTGCCCAGAGAAAGAGGGAAATGCCCACTTGTTTACCCTTTCCTATCCATTTCCCTTTTGGGCCATAAGCTGAGCCAAAGCAGGTAGAAATAGAGAAAAGGAAGTTGCATGCACAGAATGACACCATTTTATCCACAATACCCAGAATAATGTGTAGTTGGGAAGGGAGCCAGGAAGAGACCACTTAACAAAGAGAAAAATGCAGTTGGGGAAACATTATACTGTCTGTCTAGCATTAGGTTGATTGATCTTTGTTTTCTGGTCATTGTTTTTCATGCTAACAACAACAACTGGATGAGAAAAAATTACAGATGTTGAGTTATGTGATGATTTCAATTAACCATGCTCCACAGAGCAACCTATAATGCATTGACTTTCATAGGACCTACCAGCTCCTAGAATTAAAAAGTGGCATTGGCCAAAGGAGACTGTATGATCTTTTCCCCCAGAGAGCTTTAGCAATGCAATAGACAAAATATTTCATTATTTATGTAATGAAGTACTCCTTTCACATAGCTCTCCTCAGAAAAGTTAGCTTAGATTCTAGATTTTCTGTGTGTCTCTATCTATTGCAAAACAATAGCTCATGAGCCCCCACTAATGTATTTACTTCTACTATTCAGCCAAAGGGAACACTTAGTTGAAAACAAAGACATTTGATAAAATAACATAGTAAGGAAAGGAACAATCCATCAAAAGGCACTTTCTAAGTGCTTACTATGTACCAGGTACTGTGCTAGCTAGGTTCCAGGCATACAAAGACAAAAGGAAAACAGCTCCTATCCTCAAGTAGCCCTTGTTCTAACAGAGGGGACAATATGTACCATATGCCAACATATGGGTATATATAGAGCACATATATTTGCATAAATACAAAGCTTAGAAGCTAGGGTGAGGGGAATCAGGAAAGGCCCCATACAGAAGAATGTATTTGAACTGAATCTTGAGGGAAATCAGGACTACAGAAAGATAGAGATGAGGTGGGAGAGCAGTCCCAGCATGGAGGATGTCTAGTGCAAAGGCATAGCCATGGAAGACAGAGTATCACTTACAAAGAACAGAAAGTAGACCTGCATGGCTGGATAATAGAATTCATTGAGAGAAGTAATAGGTAGGATTGGGCCAGGTTGTAAAGAGCTTTAAATACCAAATGGAATGGAAAATAATATATTAGTGCTTATATGTGCCAATACTAGAGACAATAGGAAAACACTAGAGGTTATTGAGTACAGGAATTCAATGATCAGACCTGCACATTAGAGAAAATACTTTGTCAGTTGGGTGGAAGATGATTTGGAAAAGAGAGAAACTGGAGGCAGAGAGATTAATTAGGAGGTTGTTGCAATGGTCCAGGGGAGCAATTCCCCTATAAAACTGAGGGACACTCTTTCACAAATGCACACATTATCAATGGGAAGAGAAGACATAGCTAGGAACTATGCAAGGAGGTGTACATACTTATGAAACATGTGTCCAAAATACATGAGTAGAGTAGATGAATACCTCTCGCACTGAAGGGCAAGATATCTTCTGATGTTGTCATTACATTTGCCTCAGTTTCCTCTGGGTCTGTACCCCTCTGGTCTCATGTGGTGTGTAGTTTCTGCCTGTTCCACTGGTCAGATGGTCATGGATTGTCTCTTTGCTTCCAGCTTCTGGCTTCAACTGGAATCCTCAGTTGAGATGCTACCTCTTTCCATCAGAGAAGTGATCTGGACCATCATTATTTTGGCTTAAGGTCCAGAGTCTTAAGCTTCAGTTCTTTTAGAAAAGGAGGCAGACCTTTCACATACCTAGTATTTGTTAGTTCCCAAAGTCTTAGTTGTGCACAACTTTTCTCACTAGAATGAAAGTCTTGCTGCCAGTGGCCAAACTCTTTTGGAACATAGAAGAGCTAACCAGGTAAGTAGGACCTACAGCCAATTAAACTACGTTTGAATCCACTATGTCTCACCGAATTGTAGACCATTGTCCCAGACAGCTCTCTGACTTGAAGTTATAAATTTCTTGCAACTTCTGCTTAAACTATTATGGACATCCTGGGCGCTCACATCCCACTATTTGGGGAGCATGAGACTCAGCGTCTTGGTAGTTTTAATGAAGCTTCCCTGAAGACAATGAAAAGCATACTCTCATGTCTGAAGTCTCTGCCATCTCAATGACTCTTGATTCTTGGATCTTATGTTTCTTCAAAAGACAGCTTTTAAAGGACACAAGAAAGACTGGCTATGTGAGCTGAAAGTGGCTTACAGTTTTCTAAATTGAGGAATAAAGGGAAACTATCTGTGTCCTAGTGCCTGAAATTCCAGTGTTGGAATTGTCCCTTTGGTTTTACTGAATACTTAAATCAATAAACTCTGATGAATCTGTGAACTAAACTTAGATATTCCTCTCAATAATTCAGATAGATATGAAAGAGACTGAAGAACCCCACCTATCCATGCTTTCCCATTTATATGTGACTCTTATCTCTGGATCACAGATTTAGAGCTGAAAGGGACTTTAGAGATCATTTTATCCAATTTTCTCATTTTACAGATGGGGAAACTGAGGCCCCAGAAAGTTAAGTGACTTGTCCAAGATCACTAAGGCAGTAAGTAGTAGACAGGATTTGAACTCAGGTCCTGCAGTTCCCAATCCTGCCCTCTTTCCACTGTCACCACACATTCTCTAAAGTTCAATACAAGAGGTCCCTAGCCATATTTGGGGCTTTCCTTGATTTTCTTGAAGGAAATTCCCCATTAAAAAGAAAAGAGGCTCAGATTCTTAAAGTCTGGCCTGCTTGCATTAGCAATACAAATGCTTAGATTCCTTAAGAGTCTGCCCTGTATGATGGATGTTCTAACAAACCTTGTCTTTGGCTGAAAAAAAAAAAGAAAAGAAAAAACCTTTGAGAAGTGTTGTATATTTTCTAACCGCATAAAAATTTCAACCTTTCTCAGCCTCATTTTCTTTACCTGTAAAATGGATGTCTTTAATACCTGTAATATTTACCTGGCAGGGTCATTTCGAGGCTTAATGAAAAAATGTATATAAAGTGGTTTGTAAATCTTAAAGTATGGACAGCTAGTGGTGAAGTGGATAGAGCATCAATACTGGAGTCAAGAGGAACTGAGTTCAAATCTGGCCTCAGACACTTACTAGCTATGTAATCCTGGGCAAGTCACTTAACCCTGTTAGCCTCAGTTTCCTCATCTGTAAAATGAGCAGGAGAAGGAAATGGCAAAGCACTCTAGTCTCTTTGTCAAGAAAACCCCAAATGGGGACAGCTAGGTGGTGCAATAGATAGAGCACCGGCCCTGAAGTCAGGAGGACCTGAGTTGAAATCTGGCCGCGGACACATAACCCTCACTAGCTGTGTGACTCTGGGCAAATCACTTAACCCCAATTGCCTCACCAAAAAAAGAGAAAAGAAAACCCCAAATGGGGACATGACTGAAATGACTAGGTGCTATATATGTGTGTGTGTATACACATGCCAGCTAATATTATCATGTTATCATTTCAGTGAGGATTATTTGACCTTCAGGTCTTATGCTGTGGAGATATACACTAGGTGGCTGGAGGTGGAGGAAGGAGAGTGAGGGCAGCTTAATGGGAAGGTGGAAGGCACCAGAGACAAACTTCCCTGTTTTATATGAAAAGCCCTGGACTGTCCATCAGAACAGGGTTCTGTCCCAGCTAGCTGTTTGGCCTTAGATAAATTTTTTCACTTTCATAGACCTCAATTTCCTCCTTCTCTGTAAAACAGAGATTGAACTCCCTCTCCAGCTTTGAAGTTCTAACATTTACAGTTCAGCCTTGGGCCAGCTTCTAACTTAAGGAGCCAGAATCTCATTCCTCTCCTCAGACCAATCTGCTGAGAAAGGGTACGTCCTCTCTCCCATGGCCCACTCCATGTAGGGAGGGCCAACTCTAATTACAAAACCTGTTATCTCCAGACTGGCTGTTGTCACTGCAAGGCAGGCAGAGGGCCTGGTGCTGGGCAGCATTGTGCAGGCCCTGGCTCCAGCTGCTTGGACCCTGAAGCCTCTCACAGCTTGACCTTCCCCCTCTCCTAGACATGCCACATGCCTGATAAGAAGCTTTCCAATGACAGCCAAAGATACTAGCTTGTCTGTGACAGGAGCTGTGGGTGCTGGGCTACATTCTTTCCCCCTTTTGTCTGCTAGGAAGGGAAGTGTACTAACAATGGACACTTTCTAGAAGGCCAGAAAAGCAGTAGAGTGATACAGTGGAAAGAACAGTGTATCTGGAGTCAGAGGACCAGGGTTTGAATCCTGCTACTTACCACCTGTGAGGCTGTAAGGAAGTCACTGAACCTCTCTGTGCCTCAGTTTCTTCATCTGTAAAATGAAGGGATTGGACTAGATTACTTCTAAAGCCCTAATTCATGATCTTAAGCACCTCCTCCTCCCTTCTTCTGCTGGTAAAGGGGCCAAAGCTAAGCTGAGGCAGCAGGGGATATATAACCATGTCCCTGTCCTTGGGGGTATGCAGTCACACAGCTAGAAAGTGTCTGAGGCCAAATTCGAACTCAGGTCTTCCTGGCTCTAGGCCTTCCTGACTCTAGTGCTCTTTACTTATGTGGTACCTATCTAGAACAGCTCTTTCCTCACAATAATCCTGTGGTGGAGACAGCCCAAGTACTATTATCTCCATTTTGCAAATGAAGAGACTGAGGCTCAGAGAGGTTATAACTAGTCAACATCTCACCTAGCTCATAAGTATTGATAATAGCTAATATTTATGTAATGCTTACTCTGTGTCAAATAAGTGCTTTACAATTAATTATCTCATTTGGTCTTCACCACAACCCTGGGAGGAAGGTACTACTATTATTCCCATTTTACAGATAGGGAAACTTAGACAAACAGTGGTTAAGTGACTTGTCCAAGGTCACACAGCTAAAAAAGTATCTGAGGCCAAATTTGAACTCAGGTCTTCCTAACTCTAGGCCTTACTAACTCTAGTGCCCTATCCACTGTACCACCTATTTGGAACTCAAACTTAGGCTTTCTGATTCCAAGGCCTTTCCCCACCCCCCGCCCCACCCCCATGAAAGGGCCCAGGATATGGTGTATTGAAAGCCGACCTTGGAGTTAGAATGATCTAGGTTCAGGTCCTGAATCTGACTCCTAATGGCCTCAGTGACCCTGAGCAAGGCAGTCAGCTTCTCATTTACCCCAGCCAACTCTGTAGGAATATAAATTGAAAAGCACCTGCTGATATGCATTAGTGAAGGGGCTTCCCCTCCAAGAGGAAACGTCCCTGCCTCTATCAGGGTCCCAGTCCAAACAAAACAAAGCAAGGTGAAACAATAAAAAGGACCCCCCAGCCTCTGCCCCCTCTCTCCTTCTCCTCCCACAATCTCTGTAGGCCCCATGCAGGGCTTATTTGCAGGGCCTCAGCACCTGTGAGGAGGACTAGCTACCCTTTCCTTGAGTGAACAACACCAGCTTCATCATCCTACAGCACATTTCCTCCAACAGTGGGAAGGGGCAGGCCAATAATTAATGACCCTAGGATATCCTGCCAAATCTCAGGCCACAAAGAAATCTGGAGAGCTGCAACTTAAATACCAGCTAAGTAGGAGAAAGCTACTTCTTCCTCTTGCACCTTCTTCAATTTTTCCATCACTTGCCTGGACTCTATGGTTACAATCAGACAGCAACAGCGAAATCCCTAAAATTAGAGTCTGAAGCTAAAAGCCCAGCCCTGTCACTTACCAGCTGCATGAACTTGGACAAGTCACTTGTTTGATTTTTTGTAAAATGAGCGTGTTATTAAATACTCCTTAGGGTCCTTTCAAGCTCAAAGATAGGTACTGCATCTTCTACAAGACCTTTCCTTATCTTCCCAGTTGTTAGTACCTTCCTACCATTTTCATATATTTTGTGTTTGCTTATCTGTAGTCATGTTATATTACCTTCAATCAAAAAATCAATTGAGAAGATTTTATTAAATATCTACTAGGTGTCAGGCTCTTTGCTACATGTTGGAGATAAAAACATATGTCTTTCTCCCTCATACCACCACACCACCCCCCAAAAAAGAAAAAAATTCCTGCCCATAAGGAAATTACATTATATCTGGGTAAGCAACATGTACATATGTAGAGATATAGAAGAGATATACAATATAGATACAAAATAATTTTGTGAGAGAAGGGGAGGAAAGGTCAAGAAAGACCTCAAGTAGAAGGTGGCTCTTACGGTGAGGAAGGAGTGATTCCAGGCCAATAGTAAGTGGGCTTGTTGTAGTCAGGGACTGTCTGTTTTTGTCTTCATATTCCTAAACGCTAACACACTGTGTGGCACATAGTAAATATTTCTTGGATTGAAATTGGGGTTGTGGGTGATGCTGAAGAGAAGACTTAAAAGCAGGGGAATCCTCCTTCCTCGGTGCAGTAGGAGTTTTTGAAAGGGTGGATGGGAAATTGGATACAACCCAAGAGAGCCTAGGCCTAGGTTATTATGAGCTCCAGACCTTTTGAAAGGTGTAAGAGCTGATGTCCTCTGAGCTCCTAATAGATAGAGGGGCTGGGTAGGGGGCGGAGAGGCCCTGCATGATGCCAATTAGATCTTTCTGCTTGCAGAGGCATGGAGGGGGGGATTAGCTTGTGGGAGGATGAAGAAAGAGCTAGGCAACTCTGTCATAATCACATCACCCCCTCATCAGCAATTACTTGATTACTTAATTACCGTGGGAGACAGAAGACCCAAAGAGAAATGCCAACTGGAGGCTGAGGAAACAGCATTTAAAGGGTGAGTAACTCTCATTAGCTCTGATAACCACCTTCTGGGGCTAAGGGTGGGTGCTGATGGGACTCTAAGCAGGCCCCTTTGATCCTGAAGAGTGGAGGCTGTCTGCTCCAGAACAGATGAATGAGAACAACTCAAGAAGCTTCCAGGTGCCCTTAACCCCTGTTGAACTAACTGACCTTAGATTCATAGAATACTTTGCACTGTAAAATTTTTTTTTTAATCTAGGGATTCAGGTAAGCTTAGGAGATCTTCAGGCTCTTTCATATCCAGTTTCCTGATCTCTTTGGACTGGTATAAGCCATTTGCCACTGGCTTCCCTGGCTGACCCTACTGGGGGCTAGGCTGTTCTTAAGTCCAGCATAGAACAGTAGACAACGAATCAGGAGATGTGGATTCTGGGAGATTCTGCTCCCAGCTTGCTGTACAATGTTAGATCACTGTCCCTGAGTTTCCTCAGGCTAATCAGTCTCCAAAGTCCCTCATACCTTGACTATTCTGTAAGTCTGCTTAGTCTTTTATGACTTCCTCTACTTGAACCCAGAGGGCAGGTCTGGGAGCATTGACTGAAGGTTGCAGAGATACATTTTGGTTTCATCTAAGGAAAAAGTTTCTGACATGGAGAACTGTCCCAAAGTGGAATGGGCTGCCCAGAGAATCAGTGATTCAACATGGCTGGGTCTATATGACTCTATTACAACTGACAGCTCTGTTATGAGGGGCAGCATGAAACAAAAAACACAGAGCTGACCTTGGAATTAGGAAAGCCTGGGTTGAGGTTCAATTGCTGTCTTTGACATATACTAGCAATATGACCCTGGTCAAGTCACTTGTCATCTTAAGCAACTCTCTGAGATTGTTGTTGTTTGGCCTTCATTCTCAAAGAAAACCAATGATATCAGCAGATTATAGGTGGCAGAGGAAGGTGCCAATATTCACTGATAGACAGAGTTTCCTCATCTGGGAGTTCCCAATACCAATGAAATCACAGATCTGGTCCCTACCCCTATGACTGACCCATCACAGACTAAGAGTTGGAGGGATCTCAGAGGCTATCTTGTATAATCCATTTCACAGATGAGGCAACTGAGGCCTAGAGAGGTGAAGTGACTTTCCCATAGTCATACAGCTAGTAAATATCAGAGAGAAGATTTGAACCCAGATGTTCCTGCCTCCAAGTCTAGCACTCTATTCATTATGCCACCAGAGTCTGAAAGGCAAAGCAAATAGAGGTCTTGAGGGATGAGTCAGTTAATAACAGTGTGCTCTGGGCAGTCTGCATGGGGTTGTGGGAGGTTCAAAAGGAACTGGTGAGGTGGTTCTGGGTAAAAGAAGAGACAAAACACGTCCATATGTTAAAAAAGACTTGAGAACCCTTCTATGAAATTAATTAATTAGTTCAACAATAACAGGCACAGTGCTAGACTCTCTGGAGTCTGAAAAGCCTTGTCTTCAAGAAGTTTACAATCTAGCCTCATGAGTCTGAGGCTCAAGGGGACATGGCAGAAATCCAGCCTCCTCTTTTTATAGATGAGGAAACTAAAGCTTCGTGCCTGAAATGCCCTCCTTTCTCATCTCCACTTGTCAGAGTCCTCTTCCTTCAAGGCTCAGGTGATGTGCCACCTCCTCTGTGCAGCCTTCCCTGGACTTATTCATTCCACTCTCCACCACCAAGATGGAAAGGATCTCTCCCTACTCTAATTTTCCTGAAGCATTTGGCCTGGGTCCCTCTGCAGGTCCCATCATATTCTACCCCGCATTTTGTTTATCTACGTATGTATCATATGCATCCCTCACCCTGCATAGAATGTAAGCTCCTTTAGGGCAATGACTGGGTAATTAAAACTGAACCAAAATAAAACTTTTTATTCCTCACATCTGAGGTAACATAGTATCTCACTTACAGGAGGCACTTAAAATATAGATTGAATTTAACTCAATCCCATTGAATTCACTCACACAGTGAGTTGATGGAAGAGTTGGGACTCCAAACAAGGTCATCTGATTTCTACTCCCAGAGACTTAAAAGAAAAAAAAAACAATATAAGGTAGAGTATGGTAAGCATCACAAGAGAGGTACAAACAAGCACCATTCTGAAGGGCCAGAGAGAGGTCAAGGGATTTGCCCAGGACCATATTACCCATATATGTCAAAGGCCGGACTTTAACCCAAGCCTCCCTGATTCTAATGCCAGCTCCCTACCCACTGTCCCGTGCTGTCTCTCATAAAAGAGTTGTCAGTCACAAGAGAGAAATACAGAGGACACAGTAACATTGAAGTACTACATCCCTCAGTGGCCCATTCCATTTTAGGACAGTTCTAAATGTTAGAAAGTTCTTTTGAAGCCTTCGACCACTTCCCCGGGGCTACAGAACAATTCTTGAAAGACCAATTAGATTAGCAGAATAGCAAAGCTGCAGGGGTAGGTCACATGGGGGGGGGTGAGGGGAAACAAAATGGAGAATGTAGACTTATATCTGAGTTCAGGTAGGATTTAGACAGGTAGAGATGGTGGGGAATGCTGGGAGAATTTCCTGGTGGAAAGAACAGCATAACAAGGTTGTACTGGGATAGTTCAGCACATGTTCTGAGAACACCCAGAAGCTCTGTCCTGTTGAGTGTAGGAGGTATGTGTAGGTGAGCCATGAGGCATAAGGTTGGAAAGCCAAGTGAGGGTTAACTCGTGGAAAACTTTGACAAGCTAAGGACTTTTTACTTTATGCTATAGGCTATGGGAGAAGAGTGGGGAGGGGCAAGGAATCAATAAAGGTTGTTGAGCATGGGATATATTATTAATCAACAAGCATTTCTTAAGCACCTACTATGTGCCAGGCACTAGGGATATGATGACAAAAATGAAACAATCCCTGCTCTCAAAGAGCTTACCTTCTATCATGGGAGGTACCATGTATACATGTAATTATTGTACATACAAAATAAATTCAAGATAATGGGGACAGTGACGCAGATGAGGGGGATCAGGAAAAACCTCATGTAAGACGCTGTATTGGAGATGAGCTGTGAAGGAAGTAAGGGATTCTAAGAAGTAAATAGGAGAGAAGAATGCCTTCCAGACATGGGAGATAACCTATGCAAAGATGGGAGATGGGGTGCCCTATGTGAGGAACAGCATTGCAGAGGGCACAAATGGAAGGAAACAGTGTTTTAATCTGGCAAGTCAAGTCTGGGATGGATTAAAGATAAGGGAGTAAATTGGGATGAGCATGAAGTTAAGATCAGAGGCTATTGCAGAAGTCCAGGCAGAGCTGATGGGGTATGAACCAGGAGAATAGCCATGGGAAAGAAGAGAATGGATTTGAAAGACACCATGCAGGTAAAACTGAAAGGATTTGGTTGTGGGGTGGAAGGGAGGAGTCAAAGGTGACTCTCCTCTGGATTTCCCCAAATTGTTTCCTCTTTAGCCTACTTTCTGCTCAGTAGCTGAGCAAACAGCTGCTGCCTTTGTAATTCTCTGGTCAGTTTCACCTTCCCCTTTTGGCGGAAGAAGAGTTTTCCGAGACAGGATGCTCTAGTACATGCCTTAACTCACCCTTGCCAGCTCAGAGAATAAGAGCATCTGGGAACTCACGTAGGTCTTGACTGGTTACTCTGGTAATTCGCAAAATGAAGACCCCTTTGCCTTAGTCAATGGATCCTGGAACACAAAGCACCAATCATCTTCCTCAAACACCATTTTAAACACAGCACCATAGATTTAGATCTGGAAGGGGTCTTCTAGGCCCATCCTTATGTTTTATAAATGAGGAAACCAAGACCTAGGCAAGTCAAGTGATTGGTTTAAGGTCACACAGGAAGTTAGCGGCAAAGATAGGATTTGAAACCAGGTCATATAACTCCAAATTCAGTATTCTTTTCCACTTAGCTGCTGACTCAATGTTATTCACCTACTCCAAGATCTTCTACTTGCACAACAGCCAGGATGGAGGGGTCAAGAACTTCTAGAAATAAGGAGAAGCTAGGTTAGGTTTCGGTCAGATTGAATTTTAATTTTTTTGTGGTAGAAATGTCCAGTAAGAAGTTAGAGACGCAAGAGTAGCTTACAGGAGCAAATACAGTTATCCCTTCCACACCCTGGGGGTTAGCAGCACAGCATCCCCAACTACGAACAAAATTCTTTACTCCTTTTGTACCAGAGAAGAGGTCTAAATTATTATGGCATCAAAAGATAAAATATGTTGACATTACACAATACATAAATTTTATGTATTTCTGAGTTTCTAAACTTTTTCTGTGTTGTCTGCTATCCTTCACATGTCGGAAGCAAAACATCCCAAAATTTCCATTCGATTTCTTATGCTGACCAGAGATATATTGAAACCTCCATGGGGAAAGTCGCTGTACGGAAGGGGTTACTGTATGTTATAAACAAAACACTAGGGCTGAAGAGATATGGGGCAGAGCAATGTAGTGATTGAAGTCAAGAGCAAAGGCTTTTTTAAAGACAAATTAATTAATGGAATGTCATAGAAAGGAAAGGAGGAGTAAGAGAGTGCTTTTTAGAAGGGAGGAATTCCAGGGGCAGCTAGGTGGTACAGTGGGTAAAGCACCAGCCCTGGAGTCAGGAGGACCTGAGTTCAAATCTGGACTCAGATACATAACACTTAATTAGCTGTGCCACTCTGGGCAAGTCACTTAACCCTGATTTCCTCACCAAAAAAAAAAAAGTGAGGAATTTTTGCTTTATTCTATAGGCTATGAGAAGAATGGGGAGGGGCAGGGAATCAATAAAAGTTTTTGAGCATGGAATAACTCATTAATCAACAAGCCTTTCTTAAGCAACTACTATGTACCAGGCACAATGCCTGGCACTAGGGATATGATGACAAAATTTTATTTTACAAATGCAAAATACCAATACAAAGTATTAAAAAGGTAAGAAGAGATGAATAAAGAAGCTGTGTGTGAGTATTATTAAGCAAACTTAGTTAAATGGAAACTAGAACAAGTAACAATGAATAAGAAGAAATGAATTTAAGATAGGAGTATTTGACAGAGGGCCTTTAATGTTAGGGTATAGGTTATTTTTAATATAAATGACAAAAACAATAGGTTATTGGGCAGGGGAATGAACTGTTTATAATCATGCTTGAGGTAAATCTATCTTGCTTTGTGGTCCATAATTCAAGGGGAACAACACTTTGGGAAAATACCAGGAAGGTCAGAAGAGGACTGGGATCTTGAGGATTTTATGTGACAGACTCTCTGGTCTGGCAAGGGTAGTGAGGCAGGCAGAAAGACACCAGAGCATTCTTCCTAAGCATCGTCATCTATCCACCAAGAAGCAAAAAATACAACTAGCCACGTAGCTATAAAGATAGCAGCTGTTTGCTCTGCTGCTCGACAGCAAGTGAGCTAAAGGGGAAATGGTTTGGTGAAGACAAGATGGAGAGAAGTCTTTTGGGTTGAATAGCCCAAGATAGGGAAGTGAGACCCTGAAGGATGTGGCCATTTTCAGCCCTGAACCAATGAAATGATTAAAGGTGAAGAAAGTGGGTGCATTTAGTCGAGCTTTGGGGGCAAAAAAGGCCTTCTTTGATCTCTGGAGCTAATCATGACCTTGGAAGATCTGTGATTACTGAGGCAGAGGCAGCTTTTTTTTTTTCCCTCTAGGTGGTTGGATCTGAAAAACTGCAGAGTTTCCACTGTAACCACAGGGCCAGTTTTGGTGACAGGGACCAGAGACCAAGAAAGAAACACATGCAGATTAGTTAACCACTGGTTCCTCCTTCCTGGTTAATTATACACAAATTCAACAAAGTCTTCAGAAACTTTCCATAAACCCACACTGTGTAAAGTTCTGAATTTGCAAGAGCTATAACTAGGGCAAGGCAAGTGGACCCTCTTTCCCAGAGTCCTAAAGTGCAAAGGAATTAGCAACACTTGTACTTTTTCAGTAGGGGGAAAAAACCAACTGGGTTAAGCACTTAATGAGTGAGAATAATTAGTTAAAATAGGAAGCTATAAGATGGCTATTCCTCCATAAGTATACCCCAAGTGAACTCCTTTTTTTAATCTCATCTCTTCCTGTTCACCTCAGTGTGTACCATATCCATAGTGTCCCAGCATCTGTCCTACCACATGGCCTTATGTCTCAAAATTTGCATTCTTTCCCACCTCTGCCTGAATTTGTCTTAAAAAAGTTTATTTGAGGGCACATTTCATACTGTTTGTCCTGGAGATAATTTGTCATGCTGGCCTCAGGTACCAGAATTTTTATTTACAGAATTATAGTTTGCTCTTAAAACACCAAATGGGGGATTTGGATATGGCAGCTGGTGTCTGAAACTCTTCATGTCCCCTTATAAAAAAGACATTATCTGTAAAACAAAAACAAAAGAATGAAAAAATAGAAAACAATGTGAAATATCACACTGGAAAAACAACTGACCTGGAAAATAGAGCCAGGAGAGAGAATTTAAAAATTATTGAACTATCTGAAAGCCATGATCAAAAAAAGAGCCTAGATATCATCTTTCAAGAAATTAACAAAGAAAACTGCCCTGATATTCTAGAACCAGAGGGCAAGATAGAAATTGAAAGAATCCATCAATCACCTCCTGAAAGAGATCCCTAAAGGAAAACTCCTAGGAGTATTATAGCCAAATTCCAGAGTTCCCAGGCTAAGGAAAATATATTGCAAGCAGCTAGAGAGAAACAATTCAAGTATTATGGAAACACAATCAGGATAACACAAGATTTAGCAGCTTCTACATTAAGGGACCAGAGGGCTTTGAATGTAATATTCTGGAGGTCAAAGGAGATAAGATTACAATCAAGAATCACTTACCCAGGAAAACTGAGTATAATCCTTCGGGGGGGAAAAAAGGATGTTCAGTGAAATAGAGGACTTTCAAGCATTCTTGATGAAAAGACCAGAGCTGAATAGTAAATTTGACTTTCAAATACAAGATTCAAGAGAAGCGTAAAGAGCTAAACAGGAAAGAGAAATCATAAGGGACTTATTAAAGTTGAACTGTTTACATTCCTACATGGAAAGATGATATTTGTAACTCGTGAGACCTTTGTCAACATTAGGGTAGTTGGAAGGAAAAAATTATATGTATGGATAGATAGATAGATAGATAGATAGATAGATAGACAGACAGACAGACAGACAGACAGACAGACAGACACAGAGGGCACAGGGTGAGTCAAAGATGAAGGAGTGATATCTGGAGAATAAAATTAAGGGGTGAGAGAGGATTATACTGGGAGAAGGAGAAGGAGAAAGGGAGAGGTAGAATGGGGTAAATTATCTCACATAATACAGACAAGAAAAGGCTTTTACAGTGGAGGGGAAATAAGAGAAGGTGAGAGGGAATGAGTGAATCTTATTCTCATCAGATTTGGCTTAAGGAAGGAATAATATACACAATTGGGTACAGAAATCTATCTTACCCTACAGGAAAATAGGGAGGAAGGGAATAAGAGAGCAGGAGAATGATAGAGGGGAGGGCAGATTGGGGAAGGGGGTAATCAGAAACAAACACTTCTAAGGAGGGAGAGGGTCAAAAGAGAGAATACAATAAATGGGGGATGGGATAGGATGAAGGTAAATATAGTTAGTTTTTCACAACATGACTACTATGGAAGTGTTTTGCATGTCGGCATATGTATAACCTGTATCAAGTTGCTTGGCTTCTCAATGAGGGTGGGTGGGAAGGGAGGAAGGGAGAAAATTTGGAACACAGAGTTTTAAAAACAAAAGTTAAAAATTATTTTCACATGCAACTGGGAAATAACATATACAGGCAATGGGGCATAGAAATCTATCCTGCCCTACAGGAAAATAGAAAAGGAAGGGAATAAGAGAAGTGAGCGGGGGGAGAGACAGAAGGGAGGGTAGACTAGGGGAAGGGGTATTCAGAATATACGCCATCTTGGGGTGGGAGAGGAGCAAGATGGGGAGAAAATTTGGAACTCAAAATCTTGCGGAAGTGAATGTTGAAAACTAAAAATAAATAAATTAATAAAATTGGGAAAAAAGAAATTAAAAAAAAAAGAAATCTGAAAACTTAAAAAGAAAAGAAAGAAAGAAAAAAGGAAAAAATGTTATCATGCATTAAGACAGGTTCCAGAGACTCAATCTCTCTGGCATTAAGCATTATGGATTCAGCTACCAAGGACAAATGGTCTGGTCAGTTCACTAACAAACATTTACTGAGTGCCTATTGTGTGCAAGGCACAATAACAGCACTTAGTGAGGAGGAACAAGATAATCATAAAACATAATAATAGCTAACATTTACATGGTGCTTACCATGTGCCAGGTACTATACTGAGCACTTCACAAATATTATCTCATTTTATACTCACTACAACACTGGGAGGTAGGTGTTATTGTTATCCCTATTTTACAGATGAGGAAATTGAGGTAAATACAGCTTAAGTGACTTGTATGGGATCACACAGACAGTAAGTTTCTGAGGCCACATTTGAACTCAAGTCTTGCTGCCTCCAAGCCCTGAGCTCCATCCACTGAGCCAAATAGCTGCCTTCAAAACATAGTCATGCCTCTTAAGGAACTTAAATCAAGTTGAAACAAAACAGACCCATGTAAAGATAAAGCAATGTGTATGCAAAGTATGGAACAGCTGGAATGCGTAAGTGTTGAAAATGGGGTATGATGTTATTATCACTCTATAATTAGGTTTGTGAATCCAACATTCAAGAGGCTGACTTTCTTCTGAATAATATGCATGAAATTAGGGCAAATTGTCACTAGGTAAATGGTTATGACTTGTTTATTGTGCCCTTTAGAGATCAGAATACTTGTCCGTTCAATTATCCTTTTTTGAAAGTAATAAATGGAATTCCTTATTAAAACATCTAAAAATAGCAGCATAAGAGAATAACAAGTCTTTAAATAGTATATAGAACAAAATTTTAAAAATACCTAAGTATCGTGGTACCTTTTGTCACCAGCCTTTAATTGTTGAATCCATAATGCTTAATGCCAGAGAGATTGAGTCTCTGGAACCTGTCTTAATGCATGATAACATTTTTTCCTTTTTTCTTTCTTTCTTTTCTTTTTAAGTTTTCAGATTTCTTTTTTTTAATTTCTTTTTCCCCAATTTTATTAATTTATTTATTTTTAGTTTTCAACATTCACTTCTGTAAGAGATATATATATCTATATATTTATATATCTATATCTATATCTATATCTATATCTATATCTATATCTATATCTATATCTATATCTATATCTAATCACCTCACTTCTCTTAAGTTACAGTCAAAAACCCTTCCTAGGGTTTGTGTAGAGTTTGATGACTCCTGACTTCTTGTTGTATTGAAACCCTGTAATCTTTCTTCCACCACTGCCAATGGTTTTAAATCCATGACTGAAGGAAAGTCTCCTTTTCCCTCTTCTGATTTGCCAAGAGCAAAGACCTTACTCTCTGATCTTTTTTGCTCCCAACTCTTTTTGCTTTATATGGGTTGGAAGCCAAAGAAAGCAATGTGTTATAGTGGCATGAAGCTGCTTATCTGTGTGAAACTCTGTGATCTCTCTGTTCTGGTCAGAAGAATGTTTCTCTTTATTCCTTTTATTCTTGATTTTTTTATGCTCTGGTGAATTTTTGATCTCAATGATGTAGCTATTCTCTCCTGCAATGCAGAATGCAAACCAGCCATGACCACCCATCCTGAGTGACTTTTTTCATGCCTCTCTATAAATTCACCACAGGAGGTCCACTAAATATTCTGGCATGGGTGCTACTTCCTGTCTGAACCAGCAACTTCCTTAAAGGGCCTGGACCTCTGTACCACAGACCTCCAAAATCTATACTCCTACTCCTTGGGAAAGTTAATCCTCTGATCTTTGGGACTTCCCTGGAGATCAGCCATCTCCACTGTTGAAAGTACAAACTCACCAGTTTAGTAGCCTTCTGTGTCTAATTATCCCTATATCCCATATCATGCTTTACCTTCACATCCATTCCATCCACAGAGATCATCCCACCATTTACTTGTTTCCACTTATCAGTACCACCCTACACACACACACACACACACACACACACACACACACACACACACACACACTCCCTGCCTTCTCCCCAAATTTTTCTATCTCTTTCTCTGGACACAGCTGTAACAACAGTCTGAAACATGTGTAGACCCATCGGCTGGCTGTCTTTGTATGGAGGAAGACTCCAGAGAGCTGCTTCCAGGAGAATTTTGATGACTGCAGCATGCATAGGCACTGTGGAACTGACTCCAGTTTACCTACCATGTGGTTGGGAGGACATGGTTTTCCCCACCCCATTGGTTGCATAGATGGAACTCTCAGTGTCTTCAAAAAGGTCAGAATCATCTCCCAACTGTAGCCCTTTACCGCTTTCAATCCTGGAGGAACAAGGTAAATCCTTTGCTGTCTCATTGCCCATGAGACCATGTAGTAAGGAGAAAGAGCCTTAGGAACTCCTTCCTCCCCCAAACTCAGACCATGTGGACCCCAACAAATGAGACATTCTTGATCTTTTCATTGTTTTTTTCTTTTCTAGGTACAGGGATTGAGTCTCCAACCTTGAAAGTTTAAAGGATGGGAAATGTGAGCCATACGAATCCAGGAATTCAGGAATTCAGTCTGGGTTTTGCAACCAGACCAGCAATGACATCTCAAGGAGCATGACAGAATTATTTAGAGTGCACTTTGGGACTCCAGCCCAGCAGATGCCCACAGCAATGTCTTCTTAGGATGGGATGTGAACTTGATGGTGTGTGTGGGAACTGAGCTAAGTTGGGAGCCAAATCCTTTTCACCTATTCCCACCACCCCTACACCTAGACTAAGGTAGTATAAGGAGGAATTATACCTCTGAGGTGCTGAAGGGAAAAGGTTTCTACATTTGTTTTTGATATGTCTTTGAAGTAGAAATTCCTTAGTAAAAACTACCTGGTGTTAAATGGTTAGATAACACTGGGGTGCTAGTTACTGATCCCCTAAATAGGAGAAACATAAGTGGTACAGTATAAGCCAGTAGCTGAGAGACAAGACATACTACACCTTAGAGTAATCTAAAATTCTGAGGGGCAGAAGTAGCCTGTTTGGCTCTGAAAGAGTGGGTCAGAGCTCAAGTTATGTGATAAACAAATCAATAGCACCATTGCTTCTGGAGATCAAAACATCTCTTCCTGGCCACCAATCTCCCATGTGCTGTCTCCTATTATTAGAATATATGATCCCGAGGGTAAGGATTTCCCTCTTTCCATATTTGTGTTCCTAGCACTTAGTACAGTGCGAGGCATACTTCATGTGCTTAGTACATGAACCATCATTCATGTTCTCTTGACAGCACAAGGATGCGAATGAAACATGGAGGCTATCGATCAGTTGATTCTCACTCATGTCTGAGTCATCTCTTTCAATCATACATTTCTTCGATAACAACCTTTATATGGTTTCTTCTGAGTTATATGTTGTTGCAGCCTCCTCACAGTCATCTCGGTTGGCCTTTGTGGGACCCTCAACTTTGATTTTTTTGGAGACAATCATGCTCTGTGACTTATAATCACAAAGAGTCCCAGGAAGAAACTCAAGATTAAAAAGATAGGTCTCTGGTACAGGGAGAAGCTTGCAGTCGTTAAAAGATCTTAGCAATTTCCCCAAAACAATCCGCTCCACTTTCTTTTTCCTGTCCATTTCTGAATTCACTTCTATGTCCATTTGCTGTATAGGCAAGTGTCATAGGTTGTCTATCCAATATCTTTTGATCCAAGCTTTCTTCCCCACTTCTGATGTAGTTTGAATTTGTAGCAACCAACTCTAATGGCATCAGCTCTTTCAACAGCTAGCTAGCATTTACACGG